CGAAAAACCCTCCCACAGAAGATCTCAGTTCTGACCTGGGACTCCACCCCCACTTTCCCCAAAAATCCTTGGCACACCCCTTTTCGCACTTCCAGACCCACATCCTACTCCGATCAGGAAGTCGCGCTGGGTGAGAGGTTGGTATCGAAGCCCGACACGTGGCCAGGTTTTAGGATTAATAGCACACTAATTGGGCGATCTGGCTAACCGAGGGCGACCTCGGCCCCGGAACGCGCATAGACGCGACCCCATAGTCACCCGAAGTAGATCGGCTAATCGACGAGCAACCAACATGGCTGCTAATTTACAGAACCCGAATTCGCAACAGAATGCTAATCAACCAAATCCTAATCAACCCGCTCCACGATCACGGGGTCCCATGACGCCACCTGATCTCTATCTATTTGACCCTGCGCACCACCTTGCAGGAGCATGGTTGGCCACGCTCTGCGAGCAGTAGTATGACAATAACGAAGCTCAAGTAAACATCCCTGCTCGATTAGGATGAGACGCTCATCACTGGTTCAGTACCTATGTGTGGGTAGATCTTCAAACCTTCGAACGAGACTTTCTTAATCAATTTGATTATGTCCACCCAGAGCAAGCACTTTACATGATCAAGGACCGAGTGCAAAAACCTCTCGAATCCGTTGCGGAGTATCGAAACCGGTTCTACCGAATGTTTGTGAAAACTGAGTGTGGTGAGCAAGTAGGGAGAGATCTGTTCATAGACGGACTCCGCAGCCGAACAATAAGGGCGAAGCTGCAAAAGCATTTTTCCGCCATCGATCATACGCTACAGCAGATCATGACCGCTGCAGAAGAAATAGAACGGAAGTTCGCGGCGAACTTCCTTGAAGGAGAAGACTATTCTAGGGAAGGAGATTCGTCCGAACTCGCAAGGGCAAAAGCCGAACTGGCTGCGCTGCAAAACAAGTTCAAAAACATGGGGTTTGTGTCAGGTCCTGTCACCTACATGGAACAGATAGCCCCTAAACGACCGATTCCAAGTGAGATTCCGAGTGTCCTTGTTCCTGTGATGCCAATACCTGTAAGAACGGAAACCCCGCCCCCAATTGAGACTCCCGTACGATCGAATGAATCAACTGCCATATTCGAACTGACCAAAACATAGATAAGTCTAATCCAGGAAAGCAAAAAGGAACAATGAGAGCATAACGCTCGATTGGAAGCCATGATGAGAAACATGCGGCTCATCGCGGTACGAGCCCCTCCGATCCAACAAGGGCTGGCCCCGACGCCTGGTCTCGGGGGAGCTGCGAGCAATCTGAATGTGTGTTATGCATGCCATCAGCCAGGGCATTTAGCCCGTGACTGCCTCTACCAGCCCCCGCAACAGCGGGTCGGGGTCGCACCAATGGCAGCCGCCCTCATCGCTAATGGACCTGGGTGGGTAGGAGCTCTCATAGAAGATATGGAAGATGTGGGAAGTGCGCTAGCAACCACGAAAGAGGCTGCTGAGCTCATTCCCCTAGATCAATACGTGTCGCTTGGTATCCTGGGCTCAGAATGATCAGAACGACCAGACCGGCGCCGGAATAGAAAGAAGTGGCGGAGTGGCGACCCTCTCAAGGTGAAATGGAGTCGGGAGGATCCACCTTTGTCACTGGGGAAATTGATGTGTTGAACATCGTCCGAGCTTTGGACCATAGGATTCCACTTCCGATCGGTCATTTGCTCTCGATCTCTGAATAGGCCAATGAGCGGATGCTACAACACTGCAAGGCGAACCGAAAACGATTCGTCCTCGCCTGAACACCGAACATAAAGGCTAAAAGCCCCACGCGAGGTGAAAACACGGCGGACACGACAAATCCAATACGGGTAGGATTAATACAAAAAGACGACCATTTCCTACGGATTAAACCCATCTCGTGGAAATCTGCGGAATGCGATATTGAAATATGGGGAATCCCGTACAATGCAATCATTGACTCGGGAGCCGCTGTTTTGGCCATCTCATTAAGAGTAGTTGAGAGAGCGGGTAGGAAAAACGACCTGATCATGCTTACAGAAAAGGATCAGCTTGTTTCGGCAGACGAAGAAAAAATCAAAACAGTGGGAAGAATAACCAATGTCGCGTTCCGATTGGGAAAGGTGCATGCGTTAGGTGACGTCGTGGTATTAGACGTAAATACCTACGACGTTCTTTTCGGACTTCCCGCTTTTGTAGCATTACAAGCAAACCTGGACTTCGAACAACGGTCAATCATCCTCCGAAATACGGGAGGAAAACCCTATGCTGTACCTATGAGATTGACTCTTCGTACTACCATCAACGCAGTCCCACGAGTCTCGCCGATGATAGCAGGGACTCTTCGCATGATCACTTGGGAAGATTCCGCAGACGATGAGTCACCATCGAAGGATGCGGATAGCAGTGACGAAAATGATTCGGATTTTCTGAAGCTAGCACAACAACGTATTTATTACCCGCCGCTCAGGACGATCGCAAGAACAATGCACCTAATCAGTCGGAATATTCAAAGGACTAAGGCGATGATTTTGGGTGAACCTCTCGTGCAGATATCGAGGATGGTCGACTCTTTGGAACCCCCTCAAAACCCTGTACGAAGGAATCTCCCCTCTCCTCGCCCAATACAATGACAAAAAGCACTACTGCGATATCACAGATCTCCGAAGTCCCTACTGACATCTGCAAAAAAAGTACGACTTCTACGCCTGGGGGCGGAAGCCAGTTCTTTGGAACCCCGTGGGCGCCTCGAGGCTGAATTAGATAAGCTCGGAGTAAAAATCGCAACTAAAACCGTACCGTGGCAGGACATCTGCGATGGGATCACCCCGGAAGGACACGTGGCCATCCGGGAGGAAGATGCCCAGATGATGGCCACGATGTTCTCCTGGCGATCGGATCATTCGTTCATCTCTGCGTGGCCGCCCGATGTGGCGAAACAGGCACGCACGAAGCAGATCGACGTATGAATCTGGGATCAACTTTTTGAGTTGCACGTCCCACAGTACGTACCCGACAAAATTCACCAGGTGATTGCAGACATTCTGACGGAATATCAGGGAGCGATTAGCGTAACCGATACTGACATCGGCTTGTCGTTGGTTATTCAACATGCGATTCAGACGGGAAATCATTCCCCGATCCATTGCAAGCCCTACTGATACTCCCGGATAGAACGAAAAAAGACTCTCGAGCGAATACGGGAATTCAAAGCAAGCGGGTGGATTGAACCCGCCACCGGGCCATGGTCATTTCCAGTAGTGCTAGTACCGAAGAAAAACGGATCAATCCGCATATGCATTGATTATCGCAAACTGAATGAAATCACGATTAAAGATGTGTATCCCCTCCCCCGGATTGATGATTTGCTGGATGCGATTGTGTGTGCTAATTATTTTAGTAAGTTTGGTATTCGACATGGCTTCCATCACATTCTGGTTAAAGAGGAAGATCGGCCCAAGATGGCCTTCGTACTATTTGAAGGCACGTGGTAGTGGGTTCGGTGTCCGATGGGGATTTGCAACGCGCCTATCACGTTTCAGCGAGCGATGAACATGACATTCCAGAACTTCGTCAACAAAACGCGACTGACTCAGGGAATGATAAACTTCTGCGTGATTGTGTACATGGATGACATCCTCGTCTACTCGGAGACCTATCACGGACATGCGCAACACATCGAGTGGACGCTGGGAGCGCTAAGAGACGCTGGGTTCAAGATCGCACTCCAAAAAAACGATTTTTTCCTTTCGGAAATTTCGTTCTTAGGTTACGTCGTGACACGTGGAGGATTGCGGCCGGAATCAAGAAAGGTCGCGGCGGTGAGAGGAGCCCCAGTTCCCACGTCACTGACGCAGGTTCGAGCCTTCTTGGGATTCGCCTCGTACTATCGTCGTTTCATCAAAGGTTTCGCCGCGATTGCACGACCGCTAACGAACCTGTTACGAAAGGACCAGCCTCTCAGTTGGGACGCAGAGTGTGAACAGGCCTTCGCAACCCTCAAAGACGCTCTGGCGACAACACCTATTTTGATCCGACCGAACCCCTCGAAACAGTTCATTCTTATCATGGACTGGCAACCGGAAGCTATTTCCGCTATTCTAGCGCAGAAGGGAAACGGTGGTCGCGAACATGTCATCGAATACACGTCGCGCACGGTGCCAGATGAACGGAGGAATGACTCAGCACCCCAAGGCGAATGTTATGCCGTAGTCTGGGGAATCCAGCACTTCCATCCGTATCTGTACAGGCAGAAGTTCCGCCTCGTAACGGATCATGAGCCCCTGCTGTCCTTGAAGAAGCTCACTAATTACACGGGCATGATTGGACGCTGGGCGGTACGACTACAAGAGTATGACTTCGACATCATCCACCGGAAGACAGAGAGGCACGGCAACGCAGACAGACTGACACGTCTGCATCGGCCCGCCAAAGCACCGAAGGGCGAGGAAATTACTCTGTGGAAGGAATCAGAACCAACAAACGGGCCTAAGTACGGACAAGTGGCAGTTCTCCCGCGCGGCAAGAAGCAGACCGGTGGCAATGGGTGATGGAGGTAATCTCACTACCCCTCTTTCTCCCATCTCCTCTTCGTCTATTCTCTCCCTTCCTGATAAATTTTGCTACTTTTGCGAAGCAATTTCTCGTGTATACTCTGTCTCCATGCGTCCTGACGGGGAAGGGTATGCGAAATGGATAGACTGCCGACAGTGCGTCACACGAGCCCATGGCTCGTGCATCCAATACCGAAACAACAAAAAACCGTGGTTATGTCCCTTGTGTCGGGTTGACAAGATCCCGACCGAGGCTCGCTTTCTGGATGCCACGTCAGAAGGGTTGGAAAAAACTCGAAAATTTTGAAGGGCTTAAGTATGGACCGACATCGCTTTGATTGTCACCTTAGTCGGTAACCCCCTCCAGGATCTCACCAAGGAAGATCGGAGGAGGGTTAACGAAAGGGCTCGGGATTATCGATGGGTAGAAGGTAGGTTAGAAAAACGAAAAACGGATGGCAGTGGGATTTGGATGATTGTACCGCACCCGTTCATGAGGTATGACTGGGTAAAGACGACACATGAGGAAACGGCAGCCCGTTTCGCCGTATGGATTACAGAGTCAGCAATCGACAAAAATGAGTGGTATTGGTCCAATATTCGGGACGATGTGAAATTCATCGTCGCAAACTGTCAAGTCTGCGCTGCTGAGAAGGCGCCAACCGCCGAGATCGATAGTTCCAATGGTAATCGAACGGCCGTTTCAGAGAGTGAGCATGGATACTACCAATATCGTGGTGCCCCCTGGTCCTAATGGTTGCGAATATTCAATCCTGTTGGTGTTTGTCGACCATTTTTCGAAATGGATGGAGGCCTATCCGTGTCGCACGCGACAGGCCGCCGAAATCGCACGGTATGTTAACCGTTTTCTCGGGATGCACCAGCATACGGAAGAGATCCAAACCGATAATGGGGCATAATTCAGAGGGGAAGTATTGAGGAACCTGGTCATACACGGTGTCGTCGTGCGGAACACCGCACCCCACATGTCACAATCCAATGGGCTGGTAGAAAACGCCAACAGAGTGATAAAGACAACACTGCGACGAAACATCGCGGCACGGGATCCGAGGCCCTGGCCCGATATCGTCGACCACATCCTAGCGGTCCATCGCGGAACGCCCCACGAATCGACGGGCTTGAGCCCCTTCCAATTAAGGACTAATAGCGTCGCTTGTGTATCGATACCAAGCCTCCCTTACGAATCAACGCTCAACCGTCGGCCCACAAGGGCCACAGCGCGAGACAAGGCTAAGCGACACCTAGAGTTAATGGAACGGTCCCTCCCCAGGCTAGCCCGAAAATGCCAAAAAATGACCGAGTTGGCCCATGGCCGACAGGTCTGAAGCTACGAGGCCCGGAACGGGAACGCAGGTCCATGGCCCCAGTACAAAGTGGGGGACATCGTGCAAGTGAGGAAATGTGCTCGCCAAGGCAAGCTAGCGCCACGATTCTTCGGGCGATTCCACATGATTGAGCTCGGACCCAACGGCGTGAACACCATGCGACTTGCGCCTGAGGTCTCCGGCAGCCGATCGGCTCGTCCGATCATCCGCCACGTGTCCTACCTTCGTCCCCTTCCTCCTTCCCCATCTTCGCATTCGTTCGATTCCTCCTCCGCTGCGGAAGAGGACGACGACTTCTTATCACCTGCCTCTCCGTCTCCCTCTCGTTCTCTTTCTATTACTCCGTCTCCATCGCCATCGCCATGAGTTTTCTTGTGGAGCGAGCTCTCAGCGATCCTCTGCTGGTGCCATGGTGTCACATCTCGGTGATTCGACATGTTCATCATCCATGGCTCAATCCAGATCTTCGGCGACTTGCGCAGTTCTTCTGTACCAAGGAAGTGTACGCGCCTGCTGAGTTTCGTTTTGCAGGAAGTCCCTGAGCGGTTGTTTTAGCAGAGGCGGTAGGAGTTCATCGGCGATCGGCTCCAGGAATCAGCCACGTGTCTACGGCGGTCGTCTTCAGTGGCGACATCAGCACCATCAACCCGCTGCGACATACAGCCATCAAGACGTCGCTTCGACTCTGGGCGCAGCAATTGGCTGCGGAGTGGAACCGTTGGCTCACGCCCCACGGAGATAAGCTTTTTCCCACGGACGACGTCGATCTCGACGGGATCCGAACCTTCCAGCATGAGCCGGCGGTGGTGCTCCCGGAGCTCGTCCCCTTCCCCCATCCTCAATGAACCCATCCCCAATCTCCACCTTTGACCTCCCCTCTTTCATTCCCACCTTCTGGCAGTCCGGAGTCCATCCGCATCTTTCCTTTCGACTGGAATCGCTTGCAGTCCCCCTTCTCGATCCCCTACAGTAGAGGCGTTGGAGAGAACACTTCGTTGAGTTGTCGGTGTGTCTGGTCGGAGTGCGAGTCATGTGGACGCGGCACGAGGATCACCGCCAGTGGGCCGAGTACCTCGAACTGCTTATCATCCAGGCGTGGCGAACGGAAGTGGAGGGCGATCTGCTCGGATTCCTCTTTGGATCGGTGCGGCCCGATCACCACCAACCGATCGTGCACGAGTTAATGGTCCCCCTTGCGCAGCTGGCCGACGATCTCCCACTCGAGATCGTCTCGCAGAGCGATGACAGCCCGGTCCCGCACATCCTTCCACGGACCCTGACGCCATATCTTCAATGGTCGGCGTGCTTGGAGGAACCTGGAAGTGGCCGTAACCCACCGTCACAACGCAATTATCTGGACCCGCACGAGATAGTCGACCTCGCCTTCTTCCAAGATCGGACGGCCTCCGAGAATGAGGAGGTAGAGATTGAAGCAGAAGAAGAAATCTCAGAAGAAGAGGAAGAGGTCGAAGAAGAGGCCGACGAGGAAGAAACTCTTGAGGAAGGAAGTTACAATGAGCACAACGAAGGGGAGCAAAGTGAAGCGGACGAGGAAGAAGAGCAAGACGGCGAAGAAGAAGAAGACCAGGAGGAGTTAGAAGAGTCGGAGTACGAAGGATTCGAGGAGGAAGTGCGTGACGAGGCTTGGGCGCAGGCCCAGGCGCAGAAGAGGGAAGAAATCGCAGTCGGGAAAAGACATTTGGAATTCGCCAGCGCCACCGGCCAGCCGCTCGCCGACGATCCGGCCCAGGATCCAGAGCTGCCTAAGCCCGAGGATGGAGAGACAGCTGGCGAGACTTCGGCCACACCAGCGAGACGGCAACGAAGCCGATCCCCCTCCCCCTCCGCCTTCAACCGCCCACCAACTCGTCCACGTACCGATGCGGGGCATCGGGCTTCGTCCCCGGTCCTTATCCCGCTGTCCCCTTGATCACCTCTCCTTACGCCAGATCACCACCCACGTCACCTTCCCCGCCTTCCCCATCGATACCTTCCGCTTCTTCTACACTACCCGCCTCGCTGTCACTGTTCATCCCCACCCTTCCACCCCTCCCCGTCTTCTGCCTCCATATCCTTTTTCTCAGTGCCGCGTGGCGGGGCCACAATATGATCGAGGTGTATTGCATGATTACAGGGACTATCCCCGCATGAGAGAACCACGATCACTTCCGTGCAACCCTTTTTCGAACCTTTACCACCCTCTATCCCGACTACCTCGCATCCCTCCCCCACACTGGCAACCGATTCCCCCGCTTTCACCGGATCGTCGCTACCAAGAACTTCCGGAGACGGTGACCGGAATGGAGAGCTTCCTGCCCCCGCTACCCATCAACCCTCCCCCTCGCCACCCCTCCATGTACCGTCTTCCCTTTACCCTCCCCGGCGCTCGCTGATGTATGACAGATGGGTACGTGTCGAGATGGCGACACATGTAATCCCCTCCTTGGATTGTTGAAGGCCCTCCCTGAGGAATTAGTAGTAGAGCAGTGTTGCCACGATGAACGACATCCACACTCATTCGAACGGTAAGTGGCATAGAGAAAGGAGCTCCGCGTGACGATCGATTAAAGAGATCGACACGTGTCACAAGCAAGCAGGAGCTTGCTAATATTGGAACCCCCTGAGCGTCACATATATGACGAACCACTTTCTGTAGCGCACGACTTTCTGCGCAGTTATAATGAGGGGTCCTAAGCTGGGAAGGTTGGGCGAATTACGGGAGATTGGGATGGATGGGAAATTGCATCAGTACCCTCACTTCTTCGTCTTTTGCGACGATTCTTTTGGATGGCTGAGTTCGGTGCTGGGTGTGCCCCATGACGGGTCATTGATTGGTCGGATGGCTGGCGCGCCGCTAGGCGCGCGATTAATAAATGTTGACGTCGCTTCTTTTTGGTTCGGTGTCGGAACTTTTTGGGAGCGGACATCGCGCGGGAATTTGCTTCGTTCTTTTTGAATTTTCTTTTTAAATTCCTTTTCAAATTTTGTCGAGCCCCGATGGCTCTCGGAATTGGGGACTTTCCTTCCGGAACCTGTACTTTTGCTTTTTTGCAGTTAGAAATTTTGTAATTAGGACTTTCGTTTTCCGTGCGGCGCCTTTTTGCTTACGCGCTTCTTTATGCGGCTAAAACGGAATTTTGATCAGTCGGCGTCGTTAATCAGGTGTGTAACTGTAATTTTGGGTTGGCGCCATTGTAACTGTATCTTTCTTCTTGCGCTTCGTCTTTCCCGCCCTCCTTCTCATTCTTTTGCTGTGTTTTTGTTGCTACGGACTGCATGCTCAGATCGATGTGTGGAGAGTGCCTATGTCCCCCACGCCGCGGCCCGGTCATGCAGAACGCAGACACTCCTTCTCTAATCTCCCTCCTAAGTCCTGGTAATTTCGTGTTCTTCGCGCATGCATGCACGCTATAAATTTCGGCTGCGCGATTAGTCAGCTCTCATAATCAGCGGTTGGAAGCTCGGGGTTGCACGATCAGAGAGGGTCGGCACACGAGCGCAGTAAGAGGTGAGTAGAGCAGGAGTCGGGCGACCCGACGAGCTGGTGCCAAACGCGAGGGGTTGACGCGGGCCACGACGGACTGTGGGCGCGGGCGAACCTGACGGGTGCGGGAGGACTAAGCGGCGTGACGGCTTCGTGGGTTGGTGCTCGACGACGGACTGTCCGCATCGGAGAGAGAGAGAGAGGAAGAGGGAGCTGAGGTCGATGAAAGCGGTTTCGCTGTTTCTTTTATCTTTTCTCCCTCCTATCTTGTGTACATAAATTTTGATTTCGGCTCCGAGTGATTTGCTCGTTCTCCGTTTTTCGGAATCTGGACTTGGGTTTTCGCTCACACTTGTCTTCGCGATTTCCCTCTCAGATGCACTGTGGGTATATGCTGTCGAATGAATGGATGTATGGATGCCATGTTTGGTTGCTTGTCTTTCTACCGGATCCATGCCTTTGCCTTTGTTTATTGTCTTTGATGCACTCATAAGTAGGAATTTTGTACAATCGGTAGTTCCGTTCTCATCTTTGCTCATCTTTTGATTGGACGGCCGTGCCCGTTGCATATTGCATACTTGACATTACAGAATGATTAGACAGTCGGATGTCTGGTCCCGCGGAACGCCGCGTGAGGATGCGTGTAAACGAGACTTGATTTGCGCATTTATACGTGCCCCCGTGTGTCGATTCGCCAATATAGGTGGCAAAAATGTTGTTTGACTGGATACGGCCATCCAGGGCCTGCGACGGAGCGATCATCCCGGGAGAACAGGTGTGAGCGCGACTTGGCTCGCACCAGCCTGCACGTGCTCACATGCGGTGATCGCACTCGCCAAGGACCCGCCCTTAGGCAACTCACAACTCCGCGATGACACAATGACACGATCCTGGAATTCCGACTCATCATAGGACCCGGATTACTTCACCCCTTGGGTAAACGAACTCCTCCGACAGAGATACCCTTGCCTAACCGAGAACCGACTGTGTCCTCGGGAATTTCACAGCGCCACCACTAGCGACCCCCGGTGCTCTGATTTCCCCTCTCCGGACCATACCTACTACTTCATCCACCCCGGATTTGTCGTTATCACCACCAGTTTCCCTCCCTTTCGCCTCCTCTTTTCGTATCACCAACTCAGCGTCGTCCCGTGGCCGGTCATAGCCCAATACTGGCCCAGTATGCCCTGCGGAAACTGCTGACGACGCGGCGATCAGAGGACCTCGGAATCCCGGAGGCCCAACCCAAACGCGCGACGACCGGCGCCACGTGGCAACTCTCGACGGCCCGACTCATCGGAGCCCCACCTATCC